AAAATAATATTATTTATAGAGATATTAAACCAGAAAATATATTAATTGATTTTGATGGTCATGTCAGAATTGCTGATTTTGGTTTATCAAAACCTAATATGACAGAATAAGATGTTGGATATTCATTTTGTGGATCCCCTGAATATATGGCACCTGAAATGTTATTAAAATCTGGACACACATTTCAATTAGATTTGTATTGTTTAGGAGCATTGCTGTATGAGCTTGTTACTGGTTTACCTCCTTATTATTCGAGAAATACAGAGGAGATATACACTAGAATACTTAATTAAAAGTTAAATTTTCCTCCTTAATTACAAATGTCCCCTTAAATTAAAGATTTATTGAATAATTTATTAGCTAAAAATCCAAAAAATAGAATCGATTCTATTGATACTTTATTAAAACATCCATGGATGATCTAATGGGGTGATAAAAATTTATATAAAGATATTTTATAAAAAAAGATTGAACCCCCTTTTAAACCAGATCATTATTCGTTTAATTTCGATGAATAAGAATTTGGCCAAGGTGAAGCAGAATTCTTAGCATTTATAAAACCTCTTTAATAAAATATCTCTGAAAATTTTCCTAAAGAAATTATATTAAAACAATTTTATTATAATAATAATGAAGCTAATTTTTAGGAAAGCACTGGTGGTACTAGAAATAATTAAATGGAATATTAATCAACATAAAAGTAAAAAAGTAAGAAATTTAATACATTTGAGAGTGAAAATTAAATGAATCAATAAGATTAAAAAATTTATATTTTAAATTAAATGAAAACTCAAACAGATCACGATTAAAAGAGAAAGTCAGCGTGAATTAAATTTTAGTTTATTAAATATTTATATATATTTATGTATTAAATATCAAATTGAATTTTTATTTTTTTATGATTTATTCATTTAATTAGATAAAAAATTAAACCACTTTTATTTTAAATAATCTTTAACTTTCTCCAACACTTTTCATTATGAAATTTTTAACAAAGATACTTACTAATTAATGATGAATTGTATTTTCTACAATATTCTATGAGATATTCATTGGAATTATTAGCTAATATTATTATTTAGTAGTAATTAATTTTTAGTTTATATATTTTAATTATAAAATAATTACCTAATGTATTTAAAAAAAATAATTATAATTTATTTTATAAAATAGTTAAGGAATATATATAACACTAATTTATTTCATTTTTCATCATCTGAATTTACAATTTTGATATCAACTCCAATTTAATCAAAAATATCATTAAAATCATTTTATTTACTTGGCTTAGTATTTTGTTATTGTTTATCTTCTAAAAATTATGTTTAATGACTAATATAATTATTATTATTTTAGATTTGGGAAGATGCAATTTATTATGGAAATACTGGTGGTAACCAATAGTTATTGAAAATACTCTAATTTAATGGAACATAATAATTAGGTTGATTTGAAAGATATAAAAATTATTAAATTGATTAAGTTCCTATTGAAGTTCTTAGATAATTCTAATTAGGATCTGATTAAGTGGATGAAGTAGTAGCATTATCTTCTATTTTAACTTTCTTTTTAATTTGATTTAGGACTATATTTTAAAAGTCTATCACATTATAAGGTGTTAAATATAATTTATTATTTTTATGATTAAAAAGAACGACTCCACACTTTTCATTATTAAGAATGATATTTGAATCTACCTTTTAAATAGTAAGTTCTTTTTTGTAAAGTATATTTTTGGATGTTTTAATAGAAGGATCTTCATGAAATAGATTAAAAAAATCATCATTATTTATTTTTTAAGCTTCTTCTATCTTCCCTTCTTATATACATTATTCAATATATAAGCTTTAAATTGCTAAAACTATAAACTGCCATTCATAGTTATCTATTTCTTCTATTGGAGTGATGTTACCATATCTTTTAGCATAGTCCTTTCGCAACTTTTACACTTTTTGAAATAAATGAGGATTTATCGTTTCAAATTCATATTTCAATTTTTCTTTTTTTAGAAGTGAATTGTATTTATTCTTTAATGAATTCTCTGTTCTAACCCTTCCATAAAGGGTTGACAACTCTGACCATTTTTTACCTCTCATTAAGATCGTTTTCAACAAATCAATTTCTTATTACTTATCCCAAGGATCACTATTTTATTATCATTTTAATACTTAGAAATATTTGGATCTAAACGATTAATCCATCGTTCTCTACATTATTTAGGTTATCTGAATATTTTATTATTAGATCTTTTATAAATTTCCCTTGAAATTTAAGACCATTTGTTTTCCTTACCTGTTTTTTTAAATTCTCTAATATTTAGAAATACACTTACTCATGGACTTTATAAAGTAAATTGTCTTCTTATTCAGTCCAAGGTGCTTCAGATAAAGGAATTTTATATTTTTGTTCCCATTTTAATCGACATTAATGAGCATTTCTTCCTAAAATCATTTTTGATATTTCTCTCCATTGATTAGTAGCCTTTTAAGAACTTTATTATATTGAATACTAATTATTTATTATCCTTAATTCCTTAATAGATATAATATCGCATAACAATCCAATAAAATAGTTTTTTCTCGAAATCACTCCACTTTATTGATTTTTTTTTTGCATTTTAGCTAGAAAATTCAACAAAACTGATACATATTCTTTTAAAAAAGTAATATTGCTTAATCAACTGTTAGCCAATCTTTATAATTCAATCTTAAATTTTGACCTACTTTGGATAACAACTCAAAGTTTTCCTTTATAAAAGATGTTTTCTCAATAAATCCAAAAAACTCCCTATTAACTAATTCATATGGATAAACTAGTAAATAATCATCTATTTTATTACTTGTTAAATCTTCCATTTCACAACTACCAACCAAATTGTGATCATTTTATATTTTAGTACTTTTTTGGTCAATCATATATATTATTAAAAAAATACATTTATATTAGAATAATAGCAATTTAAGTAAATAAACGCAAATAAGAATTATGAGTTATTAATGTTTAATAGGAATTTATTATTAATCTTGAATAAAATAAAAAAATAAAAGTTTTGAATATATGAATAAATTTACTCATAATTCAACTATTTATTTAATCTAGTAAATTCATTAAATATTAAAATAATATTAAAATTATTAATTACTTAGAACCATAATAAAAATAGTATATACAATAATTTATGTCTTTAAAGTATCTATTAATAAAAGTTATTTTTTATTATTATTGAAACTATACTGAAAAAATACTTATTACTAAAAAAATATTTTAATCTAACTATTTAAATTACATTCTCTTCTTTTTAAATGTATTAAATATCAAGTTATAAGCTATTTATATTTTAATACAATTTATATTCTACAATCATAAATAAACAATAAGTTAAGATAATATTAATTATTCATATTATGATAACTGTTTAAATAAGAACCCCAAAAGTTAAATTATCAAAACATAGAATTTAAAATAGTTAGCCCACAATATTAAACTATTCAAATTTAAATAGTTTTCATGAATTTTTTAATAACAATTCACATAGTAATGAAAAGAGATAGAGCATATTTAATAGTAGATGCAAAACTGAAAATACTTAAATGGAAGTGTCGATAAAGCCTAATAAACAAAAATAATCTAGTTAATCAACAACTATTAGTTTGGCAAGCAGTGCTAGTCCTAATTAAGGTATGAAAAATGTAAAAGGCAATTCTAACAGCAGCTTTAAAATAATATAATAATCTAATCATCTCAATCCATTTAAAGAGAACGCAACAAATTAAAAACTATAATAGTAATTACAAAAAGTTGTTGAAAGAACTAAGTTTATGATGAACAACTATCAAGTAGTTTCTAAAAAATGGGAATAAAAGGAATAAGAACTTAAAGAAGAAATAACCACATTAAAAAAAATCATTGATAAATAAAATGCTCAACTTGAAAAACATAATTTAAATCCAATTTATTTCTGAGAAGCCAAATATTTCATTGATTTTCCATTACTTTATATAATATATTCATTAAAATTAAACTTTCTTATCCATGATAAATTTTATTATTGAATGCAACAATAAAGACAATAAGAAATTCTGTAAGATATTATGGAGAAAACCACATTTTATAAAGGAAAAATAAATCAATTTTTAAATAATCAAATCTTTGAGTAAGATTCACTAAAGGCAAAAATTATGAAATCTAAGCAAAATATTATTAAGAAAACTAATTATAACAGAATACATGAAAAAAGTGATAAATAAAAGAATTTCAAGAAAACTAAATCAAGAAAGGAGCGTAAATAATAAAAATTACAAAAAATGATCTATAAATTTAGTGATTTGTAGATTGAATGAACGTTATAATAAAAAAGTAAATATATATTAACATAATGATTTATATTAAAATTTAATACCAAGGTATATGCTAAATAGAATTAGTTGAAGAAAAGTTATATTTATAAGATGTAGGAAATTTTGAAAAATTACAAAAATATCATTTTCTCATATTACTATCCCAATAATGTAATTTATTACTCATTTTATCAAATATTAAATTAATAGACTCTTCTCATAAGTCCAAATAGTAAATTTCAGCATTTTCATTATTGTACTATAATCTAAATTTTTAAACATTTATTCTATTGCCTCTTAACTAGAAACTTTATATCATCATTAGCCATCAATCAAAATAGATTAATAATCGATTTAGAAACTCTTCTTATTACTACATAAACCTTGACATATTTTGATTTAAATAATATCTATAAATCTTATTTCTATCCTCCAAAAGCTTCTACAATTTTTTTTGAACATAATTTTAATGAAGTTGGATAAGGTTTAGATTCTTTGCCTAAGACAAATCCAAAGTCAATATGGAACATTTTGCCTAATTATTGATTAATAAATTTTCTGTTTCTGTCTTTTATCTTTAAGAAATATATCAAACAGTACATTTGAGCATATATAAATTTTCATATAAGTTTGATACTATATTGTGCAATTTTTAAAATTCAATCAAAGGAATAATCTTAAGATTTTCTGGATCTTCTTATCCTAAAATATGAAAAATTATTAATTACTGAGACTATCATCTATTTTTCTTTTAATTTTCCCAATCTAAAGAATGTAGAAAAATTGGCAAAGCACAACAATATTATTATATTGTACAATTTCTGTATTAAAAAACAGTTATTGTTGATCATTAATTTTTAATTTTTCTATCAAAGAGCCTATCCATAATTTTCCTTACTTTTTCTTCTTAATCCTTTTTGTGATTTTGAAATTCCTGGATTATCGCTATATCATAAAATAAAATTCATCGTATCAAGAATTGGATCTGGCTTGCAAATCTCTTAGTCAAAATAATTAATTCTGAAAGTACTTAATTAATTGTTAACAATAAAGAGCTTTTGTCTGATTTGAACTTTATTTTTAGGTTATTGATAATATCCTCTTATTATTATTTGTTTTATTTTAATGAGAATCATAATCTGAAAAATAGAATATGGTATTAGATCTAATTAACCTTCTAAAAATGCTTTAGATATTATCTTGCTTATATAGTACAATTTTAATTAAAGGTTTTACTTTGAAAAATTTAAATGTGTTATTTTACTTATTTTTTTTGAGACCTCATTCATTTTTCTAGTACAAAAAATTAAATAAATATTTTTTCTTTAATAAGACCTTGAGTTTTGGTGTTGAAACGAATATCTGGTGAAGTACTAGGCCAAAATAGGGAAATTGATTTTAACTTCTTTTAATTAGAGGTTTTCTATCAAATAAAAGAAAGGTAGTTGATCCAAAAAGTATTTTTTAACTGAGTACTCTATATACTCAAAGCTATAAAAAGAATTATATGATAAATCCTTAATATTCAAATTAAAAAAAATAATTTCTTATTTTTTTAAGAGATGCCGACAAAATGCTTTAATGACTTCTTAGATTATTAAAATTAACTATTTATATAGAGTGATGCTATTATAATGAGTTACTCTCTTTATTTAGATCATCCATCTATTATATATAATTAATAAATTTTACAAGTGAATCCAGTACATTGTTTCCGTCCCTTAAATTAGAGATAGTCAGTTTAACTGGTACATCTTAAAGCCAAGTATGAGGAGTATAATTTGTATAATTTTATAATTCCATAAATAATAAAAATGGAGGATTTCTATGTATAATTTAAGGAGTTTTACGATAAAGTTAAAGACATCACAAATGTTAGATTTGCCTACATGAAAGAATTATATAATCTTGGATTAGAATAATTCCCTGACAACTTAGAGATTTTAAACTTTCAAAAGAATAACTAGGTTAGCATTCAGTCAGGAAACACAAAATTAAAAAAGAACTGGTCTGATGATGATAAAAGAATCTTAATATGGATTATTGGAAAGTACATGGTCTACCACAAAAGAGATTTCAAACAAATAGTAAAGTTTTCAACTATTAATTTCTTTAGTGTGAAGATGATTGGTAGACTATATCATCAATGATGTTGAGAAGAGACTCTTTCTAATGTAAGCAAAAGTGGCTATAGATGTTGAAATTACCTCTTTAATAAGCCCCTTGGGGACAAAACGAAGATGAAGCTTTAGTTAGAATAATAAGTGAGTTTTAGGCTCAGAACAAAGGAAATAAATGGAGTCAAATTGCAACTGAACTTAATAAAACTACAGGTTTAAATGTTCATAGAAATGGAAAATAATGTAGAGAGAGATGGAATAATCACTTAAATCCATCAATTAATAGGTAATTGTTTCAAGATATATAAGAAATCCTTGGTAATAATTAGAAGATTTGGAACTCATGAGATTGGCCATTTAAAATGGAAAAAAGTGGGCATTAATTTCTAAAAAATTGAAATAATAGCGGAGTGAAAACAATGTAAAAAATAGATTTAATTGTTTAATGAGAAAAGAAAAAAGTGGGAAAAATATCCCTTAATCTTAAGATGAAAGTGATAATGATAATTAGGAATCTTATGTATCAGATCCATCAGCTGAAGAGTTAAGTCCAGAAGAAATTAAATAAATTTAAGCTATAATCAAAAAGATAGAATGGAGAATGAAATAAGATGGATCTTCTTATGATATTAAATAAGAACATTAAGATTAAGTATCTAAAAAGGTTTAATTGGATAGAAGAGCTATAAAAAATAAATAATAATAAGAAGAGAATCCAATCAACAATAAAATCTAAAATGTCAACAATTTCAATAATATCAACATTAATATTGAAAACTATACTCCTTCTAATTTAAACTAACATAAAAATAATAATACTAATCATATTTAATTATAAGTTATGGAATATAATTAAAATGATGATTAGAGTTAATTATCTTTCGGTTTAGTTAATAAAGAAAAAGGATTTATATACTTTTTAAATTAAGAATAATACAATAATTATGTTAAATCTTAAACTCAGATAAACAATAATCCATTAATTAATTTATCTAGTTTTTTAGGTGCTCAACCTCCAGTTAGTAATTTAAATTTTTCTAATAATATTGCTCTTAATACAAATATTGAACTTGGTTAATAATAAAATTAATAAAATAATAATTTAGATTGCTTTTCTGAACATTAAAGTTTGAACTCTTATTATTATTAATGTTTGGCCATGAATAATCAAATGAATTTTAATTAACTTCCACAAACTAGATCTTATTTGAATTTACCAACTCATTTAAATAATAATTTTACTTCCAATCCATAATATCACTCAGGTTACAATTATCATGTGACATGCTATCAATAGTAATAATAATAATAATAACAATAACAGATGATGTATTAATCATAAACTAGTGACAAATTAGATCTTTGATTTATATTATTTCATTTAATTTTAAACATAGTTTTTAATTTTTAAATTGATAATAATAAAAATTAAGATAATTTTTAAAGAAAATATGAGGGTTTTTATGTTTTTGAAAAATTTATATTTATAAATAAATAGTCAATATTAACATTAAATTGATGTTAATATTCAACCTTAAATAGGAGTTCTGACATTTTAAACTTTTGATTACATAACAACATCTGTAGAAAATTTACATGGTTGTTTCTAATATATAAGATTTAAATTTACTGATTAAATAATATTCGAGTCATCTTCTTTATTGTTTGTTTTCCTTCCATTTTCTTCTGAATTAGTACTATCACAAATAGGAAATACTTTCAATATTTGAGATTACTATTAATTTCCCTATATTTATTAAATCTAATCATTATTAAATTCAAATAATGTAGAGAATGATTTTGATGATAAAAATCCTGATCCATATGGTATAATTGTTCTATTTGTTTATTATAGTTTATTAGAGAGATCTGCTTTTTGTTATTTATGCAATGATAATAATAATTATAATTCTCTCTCTTATCTTTATTCTAAATCTAATAGGGTTTCATCATTTTATGTAATCTATAATATATATATAATAAGATTATACATAATATTCTTTATATTATTTGCCAAATTATTATTCAATAGAGAAATCATCAGCAGTATCCATGCTTAACTTATTTTATTATTCACAATGTCTTACTTCAGATTGTTTCATAGAATTAGGATTGAATTCATGAAAGAGGATGAGTTTATTAGTTTAATTGGTAAGATTATTATTAATGTTATTGGTAGTATTTCCTTTAAGTTCAGTTATGTTTTTAGATAAGTTATTTTTGAAAAAGGAAGAATCTAGAAAATATAGAAATAAAATACTTTTGCTATCATGAGAAATCTAATTCAAAAGAGATTCATTTAATTAAACAGGAGAATTGTCTTCATCATTATTAGTGGATTAAAAATATTAATGCAAAAGTTAAGTGGCAGTAGGTCTCTCATTTGCAGGTTTGAGACATCTAAATTTAATATAATATTCTTACTCTAAAATAATGGATTTAATTTTTTCATTCAAAATAACATCTAAACTCTAAGGTTTTTAAGATTCCATAACTTTTTTGATGACTTAACCAGTTCCACCTTTACATTCACAAAAAGGTTTCATTCCAGTCACAATTTCTAGAATACACATTCCAAAAGCATAGATATCAACCTTAGTGTCATAATTTCCATGATAAATTTCTGGAGCCATAAATTCTGGAGTTCCCAATACTGAACTAGTATTATTTGATTACATTCTCTTAATTAATTATTAATGATTACTATATTGATAAACCAAGATCACCTATTTTTAATTCATTATTGTTTGTGTCAATCAATATATTTTCGCATTTCAAATCTCTATGGATAATATTTTGTTAATGCATATATTCCAATCCTTCCAAGATTTATTTACACCAATATCTTATAACTTTAAACTTTGGTCTTGTAATTCTCCTAAGGTAACTAACTTATAATACTTTGAAACTTACTTTTTTAATGAACCTCCATTAACAATTTCTGTTATAAAAACAATTTCTTTCTTCTATTTACTTTACCAAGAATGAATAAAACTAATTATATTCTTGTGTTTCAATGTTTTTAATATTGCAATTTCTTATCTAGCTCTTCTTATTTCATCTAATATATAATATGGATTGTAATATACTCTCAGAAACATTCATTAATTAAAATACATTCCATGCTACTTCACATCCACTTTCATTATCATATCCTCTGTACACACTCTTATATGCTCCTTTTCCTATCTCTTCATTGTACTAAAAATTATATTATTTTAATACCTTACTAAAGCGACCTGTAGGATCATTCTCTATTATCTTAGAGGTCTGTTCTTCATCATCAGATGAAAGAGATGTATCATCATTCATATTTTGATTTATTTCACCAGACTTCATTACAAGCAATAATTAAATTACCTCAAATATTTGTAAATCTGAATTAATCAAATCTTTTATAAGAATCATATTGCGTATTTTAATTTGGTCATCTTTCATATTTTCAATTCTCTTTTCATTCAGATTTAAGCTATTTTGACAGATTATTGAACTTAGAAGTCTAAATTTAGAAATTCTTAAAAACCATCATAGAATTGCCTCTTGCTACATTCAAATCTAAATATGTATTATATAAATAAAATTAAATTCAATGGCAGAATTATATAAATGTTAAACAAATTATTAATGTTCAAAAGAGTCTAATTGATGGTATTATAAGTAGTATAATTCTCTATTATTTTATAATTAAATCTAAAACCATGTTTGTAAGGAATAATTAATTTTTATTATTATTTGATTGAGCATTATATGTAATAGGTATTATTCAGATGATGACACTCTAAGTGTTTTATTTTAGGTTTGTTGTAAGTACTAAATGTTTAGTAACCATTAATTGGTTAAAAAGTTTAAAAAGCATAGGATTATTTTAAGAATTATTTATTAATATTATTATTTTATTAACAAATAAAGAAATGATCACCTTTTACAATTTGTCATTAAAAATAGTAGTGTTAGATAAAATTGATGATATCATATTGTGGAAAATCACAACTTATAAGTGCAATTTAATTTGTAATGTATTAATGTCTTTCATTGGTTTGGTATCAATTATAATAGTATATTTCATTTGATTTATTGTGTATTCATTATGATATAAATACAAGGAGTGCTAAGTATAATTACATACTATTAAGGATTAAATAATAAAAATAATTCATTTATTTAAATTTGCTAAAATTAAAAACAAAACTTATTTAGACAAGATAAAATCAACAAATACAATAATGTGTATTAACTATTTTATGCTAACAATACTACTTATATATATATTAATTTATTTTTTATAGTAATTAGTTTCATTACTGATAAAAATAATAGTTGACGTTTTCTTAGTTTTTAATGAATGTTATAAAGAATAATTTAGATCTAATCAAGATTGAGGGAATATTTAAAAAAGAATCTTTAAATGATTTAATAGAACATTATTAATTAAACTAGATTGAGATTTCAGAAATTAAATGTTTCTGAATATTATATAAATGTTATTCTTATAAATCTTATTTATATATATATATTTAATAAATGTCTTAATAGTATTTATAAAGATATATTAATTGTATGTGTATGATATTATATTTTCAATTATTTCATATGATTATCTGTATTAATAAGGCCAAACTCAGGATAGTTCCAGATAAAGTTTAACACTTACCCCAGATATATGAAATAGTTGTTTATTCTAAGCAAGCTTAGCATTCATTTTAATATTCTTTTTGACAAGTTGTATCATTACAAGTATATGTTGCACAAACTTCTTTTACAACATTATCACAAGAACTTGGCTTTGTATTACATTTTTATTATATGGCATAATTTTATGAATCTAAATCTTAAGCTTCGTTATCATTCTTACTATCAGGTTGTTTGTCATCAAGATCATTTTGATTTTATTCAAACACTTATCTAATGAATTATTAAAAATACTTACTTGTATTTATCACAAGATTACTTAACATATCCAACTACATCTTTTCTAGTACAAGCATCACAATAATTTCCAGCAGGTTTCATACAAGAATCTGAAAAACATGGAGTTGATATGAAAGCACAAGTATCTGTATATTCATCAGTACAAATCTCAGGTCTGGGTTCTGTACAATATGTAATACTATCATCTGGAGGATTTTATGGATCTCTAAAAATTATTAAATTAAAAAGATACTCTTTAGGAATTTCTTCACATTCTCCATAAAAATATGATTCAATATTTTTGTCAGAACAGGCTTCACATTCATTTCCAAATGATCTTCCACAGGGAGCCTTTAAACATTGAATACTAGGAATGAACAAACCACAAGTAGGTTTATAACTATAATTATTATTTTTAAATCTTACACAGCTGGACATATAGGACTATCAGATTTTGGAATATCACATTTGTATATTGTATTTGATGTTGTAGATGAATTATTTCCAGAATCTGAATTTATTGGTTCTGAAGGTTTTGTTGTCATGATACATGCATCAAGTTCATAATAACTGGCTTTTTCTGCTCTACAAGCAAAACAAGGATTCTCAAAAGTTCCCAATTACTAAATTTAAGTTTAAATCTTACATATCCTTCTAATGAAAAGGCACATACAGGTTAATTTTCTTTTGTACAAGATACTGATGTATCAATTTCAAGTGGACACTTGATTTAATCAGCTGCAGTGAATAATATAAGAGTAGCTACTATTAAGTAATTCATTTTTTTTAAGTTATTAATACTTAATAATCAAACTAAAAGAAATTTATATGAAATTGTTTCACTATTTATAGTAATTACTAAAATTAGAGAAACAATTTAATAACAGAATTAATCAATAAATTTCAAATCTAAATATTAATGATTTTATAAATTGAAATACCAATCCTTCATTAATATTAGTATTTTTTTTAATTTAATCATACTTTTCACAAATATTTATAGATTTTTATCATATAAACATAATCTATGGTTTAGTTCATATTAAATATCAGATAAAATCATTATGAATATACTATAATATTAATACCAATTTTATATGTTATAAGTATGCCTCTTTTCATTATTTGATTAGATATATATAAAATATGAATAAGAAAGTATATTCGGTAAACTAAACTTCTTAAAACAATTAATAAAAATTTGAATTAAACTGGTAAAATTACTTAAAAACAACTAAATTAGTATAATAAATATATATATAAAAAGGAAAGATCAAGGCATTTATTATTATATCCTCTCTCTTGTATTTGAATACAGTTAATATTAAATTAATCTAAATAATTATTCATAATATTTCAATCACATAGTTCATTTAAAATGTAGAGGAAAGTTAGTGAATGACAATTATTAAATCTTTTAATTCACTTCCTCAGCCTTTGTCATTTATCCTGGTTTTTAAATAGGCGCAATTTAATGCAAAGAGAAATACTATTTACTTAAAATTGACTGCCTTTAATATTCTTCTTTAGGAGATTATATATTAGTCGTTGATTCATATGTTTTCGTTTCTGCTTGTAATTATCGAATTTAGTTTTGATTAAACTCTGCAACATTAACTGAAAATTCCAAATATCCATTCATACTTACTCCTCCAAAGTATAATACTTAACTTTTGTAAGCAACAGCAGAATGAGAAGCTCTTGGTCTTGGAACATTACCATATACATCTAATTAAACCCATTCTTTTTCACAAATTTTATATGCAAATAAGTCATTAAAATAAGGATGGCTCCTAGAATCATCTCTACCACCAAAGATAATAATAATATTCATATCTTATACATATGAGGCAGTATGTTGTATTCTTGGAAGAGGTGGTTTACCTGTAGTTTCTGGAATAACCCAAGGATTATTTGGTTAATCCAATTTTAAAAGTGCCATAAAATGGTTATAGAATTATGTATTTTTATCATCGTCTATGTAGCATCCTCCAAAACAATAAATACCTTCATATTCTAATGCTTTATAAGGTTTGCCCCTTGTATCTTTTTTCTCAAAAATCAATTATGGCTTATTATAAGTACAAACTAATTATTAAAATGCCAATCCTTTATTAAAAGGATTCTTATATGTATCTAATGGATTCCATTTACAAAGATCTAAAGTCTAATAATTAATAGATACTTAAATTTAAATAATGAATATCATTAAAATTTGAAAATTTACTTCTTATACCACCCATAACAATTAATCCTTTTCCTACTATACAACTTCCAAAAGATCTTCGACTTTCAGGAATATTTTCATAATTTGGTTTTAGTAATTACCATGTTTTTGTTTCTAAATCAAAAATTCTTGTATCACTTAAATTTTCTCTTAATCTTAATGCTGCATTATATTGCATTTCACCTCCATACATGATAAGTTGTTTTCCATTAATTTAAGTATATTATTGATTATCATATGAAAATTGAGTTGATAAATTCATTGGATAACCAATACTATGTAAACAATGACCATAACGATTTAAAGGAATATCACCATTTTATTTAATCTCTCTAAATTTTTTAGTTTATATTTCATATTCAATTAAATCACCCATAACTTCACTTCCTATTCCACCAAACATATATATTTTGTTTTAAAAATCAGCTGCCATTGTATTTTCTCGAATAGTAGGTATCCAACTATGTTATAATTTAGAGAAAAAGGCTCCATTAAAATACATAGGATAAGACACTTTTTTTTTGGCAATTTATTGAATATTATTAGGAGATTTATCTATAATATTATTAAAAGGATCAATTCGATGTGGTACTTTTTTGACTTATTTTTACATTCTAGTAACAGTTCTTATTTATTTCTAATATTATAGAAATGATTACTATCATATTTTATTAATAACCTTAGTATTCATAGTCTTATTTATAAAGAGTCTTTCTTAACATTAAGATCATTTTCTTATTTTTAGTTAAATCATTTTAGATTGTTTAATTTATTTATTATGATGAAGATTCATTTGTATTTGTAGGAAAATTAAGTTTTGGATTCAACTCATTTAAAGATCGAAAACTAACAAATTAAGCATCACCTGATTAGACTGTAATCTATATCCTTTAAATGACAATACATTAACATTAATTCCTTCTGTTGGAATTCGATTTACTTATGAAAAATCTAAGGTTGGAAGTTTTTGTTAGCTGGAAAATCTGTGCCTTTCAGCCATTTAAAATTAATAATATTAAATTCAAAGTTTTATGTTAAATTAATTTAATTTTGAAGCATTATTTTTTTACTTTTAACTTCTTAATTTTGCAGTAAATCCAAAAGATTTATCTACTTTGATTTATCCTTTTGTATTATCTCTAATCTATTAATTTTAAGTATCCATTTAAATTAAAATCCTTCTTAAATTATTATGAGGTAAATAATTAATATAATTTTACATTTTATCTATGTTAATATATGTAAACTTCATAGAATCGAAAACATGATCAAGCATTTTAAAAGAAAGTGTTGGTTATAAATTAGTTTGAGATACGATTGGTTAAGATTGATTTGTTGAATTTTAATGAGATGTTTCTTTATTAAATTTAAGTTGATTATTTGCTCTTAATGGAGTTCCAGCTGAAAATTTACTTCGAATATAATTTTAACTTCCAAGATTTTAAATAATAGTTGTTTTTTTTGCTGGAGTATTTCTAGCATATATAGGAGTACTAGATATAAATTCTATTTTTTTAAATTATTAATCATCATCTTATTCTATTATTTTTGATTCTTTTCTTGAAAGATTTTCAGTAAAATCAGTAATATTATTCATCATATATTATTAAATAGTCATTTTTACTTCTTCCAAAATCATTTTACTATTTAATTTTACACAATTTCTACTTACTTATGATCTATTTTATTTTAGTTTTAATTATTATTATTTTTTTTATTTATGTTAAATATTAGGTTAATAAGAAAGTAAAGGACAATTTTATCTTAAATGTGTATTTCTATGACAAAATTAGCATTTATAATTTAAATCAATTAAATCATTATTATTTGCAGCATTATCTTTAATTGAATGGTATATTTCCCAATCTTTTTTAGATTCCAATATTAATTTTATAAACTATGATTTATTTAATTTCACTAATTAACAAAAATCATCACTTATTATATCAATTTTCTTATCTCCAAAACCAGTAAAAAATTCATATTAATTAAATGTTTCTCCTGGTCCTAATTTATAAATTAATGAATTTGTAGTATTTTATATAAAGTTTACATTCCCTTTAATTATATAAAATCTAATATTTTTATTATAATTCTTACAAATATAGATCATCATCATTTAATACATTTTCCCCTTTTTATATAAATTCTCCTGGTGAAAATTAAACTATTTTTACTAATCCTTATATCTCTTGTAAAATTTATTTACTAAAATTACAAGACAATACTTTTATATTCTTAATAATCTTTCCAAGTATATCTGCCTATAATTCTTATTAAAGTCCTAAAGATAATTTATTAACTAATTTATTTGCATCAATATTATCACCTTCTTAATTATATATTAAATATTTTAGATTATTTCTTACTTTATTTTATATTTAATCATCAACATTATTAGATTTCATATATTAATTCATTATTATGACTGATTTTCTTATAATAATTTAAAATTTATTACTTGTAATTTTATTTTACATCATTAAAACCTTTCAATAATATTCCAATTGCATTCATTGAATAAGCAAATACACAACTTGAAAAAAACATAGCTACATTAGCAAATGCCATTTCATAATTATTCTTAGGTGTAATATCTCCATATCCAACTGTTACCATTGTCATTGTAGCCCAATAAAATGCATTATTATATTGAGTCCAAATAGATTCATTTTCTAAATCATTATCTCTAATCCAATTCATTCTTTCACCATTTGAATTCAATCCAACCATCAACCACAAACAAGCCATTATATGAGCAAAAAAGTATATACTTATTACTAATGTTAAAAGATCAAAAGCATAACCACCAAATCCTTTTTAATATAATTATTCAACAATATAATCATAAACTCGAAAGATCCTAGCAAAAATAATAATCAAAAGGAGGATTGCAAATATTTGAATAAAACTATTTTATTCAATAGCACTAAAAGATATCATACTCCATATCATTATTGAACAAACATCTAAATGAGATGATTTAGCAAAGTAATTAAGTAGAATATCGCTTCTAGTATTTATTATTTATCCTTCAATATAGATTTCTTTATTTATTGAAATAATTATCTCGATAATATTGGTTGTTATAAATAAACATCCAAAAGATTAAAAACTTATTTCTTTTGAATTTGGAAATGATACAACAAGAGCACAAATCCAAAGAGAAATAAATAGTAAAAGAATATTGAATATTTCCCAATAAAATAAATATATGTTTGATGGAGATATAATATTATTTTAATTTTTACTTCTATTCTAAGCTAAAAATTAATAATATTATATACTTAATGCTTTTTTCAGTTTATCCTTCTATAAATAATTTTCAATTGATAATAATTTAGCTTTAAATTTCTATGGCATTATGTATGAAAATTATAACAGATTGTTTTTGAATTTCTCTATGATTTTATTTTATTTTGCTATCTAAGTAAATTTTAATGGTTCTAATTTTTTAGTTGTGCTTCTAAATGATGTCATATAAGCTAAATTCATTTCTTTATGAGACTCGCTTATGTTTTAACTGAGTATTTCATCTTAATTTCTTTCGCTTTCTTATTATATATATGAAGATGAACAATCCTTAACATATCTGATATAAGAAGATTTTGGAGAAAGCTATGGTCCTCTTGGCATATCAGTATTCAAGACAATTATACTAGGTGAATCCATTATTTATAAATATTAATATTTTAGTAAATAGATTTTTCTTGATTGATTTATTGAAAAAATGTTGATATTTTCATATTTGGATTTCAACAATGAGGTTAAAATATTTATGATTATAGTAAATCTCTATTTCTAATAGGAGTATATGTTTTTGTTAAACCATTTAAATCTAATCCTTGTCTAACAGCATTTTTATCAAGAAATTTCTCTCTCAGTTTGATAGAATTGGAACAATTATTTTAAGGCATATAATTCTAATATTCTTTAATCTAATCTATTTCATTTGAATGAAATTGGTAAATAAAATAAAGATAGTAAATAAATGAATTTTCCTTAAATATCAGTTCCTTAGTAACTTCTTTATTATTTTCCATTACATAATAATTTTTTGGATGAGACCCTTTAGATGTAGGATTGAAAACATATCTACTAGATTTTCCTTTCATCATAGCTAAAGATGGAGGTCCAGTATTGATTGTTGCATTAGTAGAAGGATTTAGATGAGATCCTAAATTTTCTATAGGTTAATCTTCATTGTTCTTTATTTCAATTTAAACTGTTTATTATTGTTATTAAGTATTAGGACTTTCTTCAGAATGTTTTTGAATTTCTCTAATTACTTCATGAAATGTGCTCTACTTTTCCAAAAATTCCTCAACTGCCTTAGTAATTTGTTACTGAATAAATAATGATTTGATCTTATTACCCATTCTTATAAATGCTTTTCTTTATTGAAATGGATATTTTCTTTATTCTCTAATTGATATTATTTGTGGATCTGGTTTATAATTGAGTAATGGACAATCAATATTTGAATGAGTATACATCTTACAGAAATTACAATTTTAGAATATTACAAAATAATTTGAATTAAGGATTAAATTATCTTTGATATTGTGAAATCTTTCAAAATCTTTATTAGAAGATCTTATAATTTTAAGAAATATATCTCTTTTAATTTAATAAACTTCAGAAAATCCTATACTTTATGCACAAGTTTTAGTAGTAAGGCCAGTAAAAAATTAATATTCTCCAAAAGTACTAGAAGATTTAATTATTTATAATACTTTTCCACTTTTTTCTTCTGTAATTTAAATTTATCCTTCTTTTATATAATATCTATGAAATAAATTGTTTAATAATTACAAATTATTGTCGAATTAATCTTAATGATAAATATAATCTCCTGGTGTAAATTTTAATTATAAGAGATTTTAAGAAACTTCTGATTAAGTTTACTTTGTAAATTATGTTGTTATTATTTTTATTTTTTACATAATGTTCATTTAAACATTTGTTTATAATTCTTACTTTAATTAATTAGGTAAATCATTTATAATTTGATTTACATCTTCATTATTTTCTTTTGATTCCATTTCAACTTAGTATTTTATAAAATCTCTTACTCTACTTTATATCTATTAATCAACTTGACTTTATCTCATATATGAATTCATTAGAATTAAAGATCTTTTGCATTTATATTTAGCATCTTAAATACTCTTAAGAATCATTCCAATAGAACTCATTGAGTATCCAAACATACAACTTGATAACAACATAAGTAAATTTACTGTAACCAATTCTGCTTCATTTTGTGGTGTAATATCTCCATAACCAACAGTTACCATTGTCATAGTAGCCCAATAAAATGAATGATTGTATTTAACTGAGATGGATTTGTGTAAAAGATTATAGTGAATTAACCAACAATTCTCACTATTTGATGTTATATCACCAACATGATGAAATACACAAGCCATTAAATGAGCAAAAAAATATATCATCAAAATTAGAGTTATAAGATCAACCAATTAATTAACAGCCCCTTATAAATATAAAGATTCTATAAAATTTTCATAATTTCTTTTTACTTTCAAAATAGTAATTGTTAAGAGAATACAAGTTATAATCTCATTAGTTACAGGTATTTTATTAAAATCAAAATACATCAAAAACCACATTGTTAAACTTATAAGATCTTCCAGTAATTATCCTTTAAAATAATGTGATATAATTTCTAATTTATCAAAAATTATTTCTCCTTAAATCATAATAGGTCTATTCAAATTGATAATGATATCAATTATGATATGAATAATTAAAAACATTTCTGCTGCACTATAACTATCATCATCTACAAAAGATGATACAAATGGACATAGCCATAAACTAAAACAATGAAAGAATGTAGCACTCACATCCCATACCATAACTAATTAACTTCCTGGAGCAAATATATTTGTAGTACTATTTTAATTTTTATCTGTTTAATATTACAAATATTTATACTTTAGTATTTTGTTTTATCAACTTTAGATTGAATATAGCTTTCTTAATTTAGAAGGTACTTATTATGTTGAGATAAAATGTATGATTTCATTAATAGAGTATTTGCAAACTTTTAAATGAGTTAATTCTGTTACATGGTTCTTAAGATTGACAATCCTTCAAATTTTCTTGCTTAATCTGATTTACGCTTATTTTACTTTTATTTACAACACTTTTACTTATTATGGTCTTGTAGATTTCCTTCTAGCAATATTAAAATTTATAGTTTTCTTTTTTTCTCCAGTTTCGTAAACACTCATCTTTATACCATCACCATTATTTATCTTAGGCTACTATTCAGATTCTATTGATAATCTCGAAGGTGATCTATCTTTTTCATAACTTTTAAATGGATGAGGATCATGTTATAAGACTGGTCCCATTGGGTTATCCAAAAGATTTCTACTACTGCTTTATGAAATCATTTAATTGTAGTTTATAAATTAATGATTGCTAAATTTATTATTAACTTTTCACAGAAACTTTTAAAAGTCAAAGATTTTAATTACAATTATAGATATATGAAAAGAACTTTTTTACTCTCATTCTTTACTTTATAATAAATCAATTATTATATAATTATTAGATAAACAAAACATGATGATCTAAAATAAACATATATTTTGAAATCTTTTTTAAAGTGTAGAATTATACATTCTATAGAATATTTATATAATTAACATAAATAATTTAATATTACTATTTTTAGATTGTATTATTACTTTATAAAATTTATTAGATATTTTTTTATGTTTTACATATAATTTTATGAATACTTATTTAATTATATATTAATGTGTTTAACAATAATTTAGAAAATATTTTGATTTAATGATCAACATTTATAAATATTAGTAAACCAACTAAAATTTTTTAGTAATATCAAAGTATTATAACATAATTTCATCATCTAATAAATACAATTAATATATTAGATGCAGCTAATAAATAATTGATAACTATTCTTTGTTTATATTTTTATTACTTAATAATATAATATATCAAAGTTTTTATAAATATAATTGACTTTAATGTATAATAAAATTATATAATAATCTTTTTTACAATGGCTACAAATTTTATTTCTTTAAGAGAATTAGAATAATTGGCTTCAATTAAATTAGATTCAAATGCATATCAATACTATAGATCAGGAGCAAATGAAGAAATTACAAAAAAAGAGAATATGGATGCATTTTAAAGAATTTATTTGAATCCTAGAGTTCTTAGAGATGTCTCAAAAATTTGTACTAAAACTAAAATATTGGGTCATCAAATTGATTTACCAATTGGTATAGCTCCTGTAGCTATGTTAAAATTAGTATTGAAATTATATATAATTTAAAGGCTCATCCTTTGGGTGAGGAAGTAACTGCTTCATTAGCTCATTAATGGAAAGTACCCTTTACATTAACTACATTATCTACTTTGTCTTAATCTGAAGTAGCTAAGCATAACAAAGATGGTTTGAGATTCTAATAATTGTATATACAAAAAAATAGATAATTAACAGAGGCATTAGTAAGAAAAGCAGAAAAGGAAGGATTTAAAGGTTTAGTATTAACAGTAGACGCACCTATCTTGGGCAAAAGAGAAGCTGATGAAAAATAACGGTACTATCATTAAATAACAAAGATTTGTATTGCCTCCTCATTTAAAGTTGGAAATTTTGGAAGAGTTAGCAAATGAAGCAAATATTAAACTATAATCAGTGGCTAATAATTAAGGTTCAGGATTATTGAAGTTTTTTGCAGAATAATTAGATTAAACAGTGAATTGGAATGATATCAAATGGTTGAGATCAATTACTAAAGTTCCAATAATTTTAAAGGGAATTCAATGTGGATAGGATGCTAAATTGGCAGTTGAACATGGTGTTGATGCCATTTGGGTTTCAAATCATGGTGGAAGACAATTAGATACAGTAAGAGCTACTGTTGATATGTTACCAGAAATAGTGGCAGCAGCTGGTTCTTTGGAAGTTTATGTGGATAGTGGAGTAAGAAATGGAACAGATGTGTATAAATGTTTGGCTTTAGGTGCTAAATGTGTATTTGTTGGAAGACCTGCTATTTATAGTACAGCAATTGGTGGAAAGGAGGGACTCAATAAAATGTTTTAGATTTTATAGTCAGAATTGGTTTCAACTATGTAATTGATGGGTGTGACATCAATTTAAGAAATCAAAAGTGATGGCATAGTACCAAAATCAAAATTATGATATTTATAAAATAATATATATATATATATCAAATATCTTTAATGTATTTGAAATTTTAGGGCTCTCTTAGTGCTCTAAGCAAATTATATCTATATTTTAAGTGCCATCCTGTATTCATGATTCGAGAATTATAGATGTATGCAACTGATTGCTACCTTAAGAAATATTGGCTATTATATATATATAATTATATTAATTTACCTAAAAATTCTAAAAGTTTTATTGAATTATTTTAGTTTTTCATCTTCACAATCAACCCACAATTCCCTTAATTATTAGATATTTGTCATTTTATTTTTTTTTTCCTTTAATATTTACAAAAAATCTTCAAACTCTCTTGAATCCAATAGTTTTAAACCTATGTCTTTATTTTGTGTAATGTAACTGATAATTGCCTTTGAAAAGTTTTTGGTTATATTTTTAGTATCATTTACTTTACTGATCTTTTTCTTTTTTTTTATTGAAAATGAATGATCTGACATCTTTTCATCATCATCTTATTCATCTGAATGAATTGATTGTGATTCTTCAGGTTTCCCTGAAAATACGAAAAATTTGTCTTTGACTTTAAAATGATTGGCTTGTTAATTAGTTTATCTATTTTAAGCTATATACCTATCCACACTCTACATAATAGGATTCATTCTCTAAAATGTAATTTCTTAAGAATAATGAGGAGCTATAGTTTAGAATGGTGAAACTAAATATGATTAATCAAATACAAGGAATATATGGTAATTGAGGTTTTAATAAGGAAAATTGACCAAAAATACTATCAGTTGATTCAAATACTTTAGCTTTTTTAAGATTTATTTCATCTTTAAAGTGAACCTTAATAAATTTTATTAATTATTATACATATAAATGGGTTCCTTAGTAAGGCAATACTAATATATTGGATTTTTTCTTTTTATTTTAATGACGTACAAGATTATTTAAGCATTTAATAAACTAGGATTATACTTTTTATATATGATCCATCTATATAAATATATATTGATAAATAATACTCTAATTCTTGAATCTGCTCCATCAAAACTTCGATAGACATTCTATAATTAAATTTATTATTATAATATTTGATTTGGAAAGCTTTCCTAACTCATAAGATTCCCTATCATGTCGTAGTTTTTGATAAAATAATTAAATTATATATTAAGTTGATTTTCATTATTGCATAAATCATTCAAAGATGAAATTCTTTCTTCCTACTTCGGCCTAGCAAACTGGACATAAATGAACTGCATCTCTACAATCATCCATCAATAATGGGATTACACAAGCACTAAGAAATTAAACTATCATCATTATTACCATAACAACTTAGGCAACATTATCAAGGCCATTAATAATTGACCCTTGCCAATCTTCAATTAAACATTTGTTTAAATTTGATTGTTACAATTAGCACAATAAACTACATGAGGTTGTCTGGTAAATTAAATATTCTATGGCTATTGTGGTATTACCAACTAAACTTCAGTGTTATTGCAAATAACAGTCTTTTTTTATTACTATCCAACACCCAGATGATTCATTATAATATTTTATATTAATAAAAATTTCCATATTATTTCTTTATAGATTTGAATAGCATAAATTTTAAACATTATCAATAGATAGATATTGATAATTAATGAATAAATAATAATTCATTAAAAAGTGACTCATTTAAAACATTAAATAAAACAAGAATGATAATAATATAATTATGGAATTGTAATATATATATATATATTAATTATAATTTCATTTTTTAGATGACTTTTTAAGTAAAGCTTTTTACTTATAATTATCTAATTATTCTAAACAAGACACTGAATTAATTGTATCATTTTAATTTTATTGTATTGTATTGCAATCTGTTATTGAATGACTATATTTAACAAATAAACTTTTTTCTAAATCACATTCTGATTTTGAATCACTAATACTAATATCAATTTAATTATTTTAAATTTCTTCTTATGTTTTTCTTTCAAATTAATCTAAATTTGATTGACTTTTATTTGGTATTATATATTATTCAATAAATAATTTCTTACTTTTTTTAGTTTAATTTTTATTATCATTAATTGTTTCTAATATAGATATCATATCATTTGTTGTATTTTTTTCATTTTAAATCTAAATCTTTTACCAATTTTGAATCTTTTAAAGAGAAGCATTAGCTAAGAAAACTTTATATCTTTCATCATTTGTTTGATATCTAAGACGATTTCTAATCTATCTAAAATTTTTTCTCATTTAAGATTCTGTATTCCATTTAGTAAAAACATAAGAGTGATTATTAAGATTTTCATTACGTTCCAATTTTTCAATAATTTTCAAAAAGAACATGTTTTGATCTTCATCAATACCTTTCTTAATGAAATCATTGATTTTATTTTTAATTTCATACAATTTCAAATCAATAATTTTGTTTATAGGTGTTCCAATTTTTGCAAGATGATAAACTAAGGATTCCTTAGATAATCCTAAAACAATTAAATCATTAATGAAGATTTAATAATATTCAACTAATATATCTTGAGACAAATTAGAATAAGTTTATTTATGGGGATTTAGTATTATCATTTAATCAGGAGTTAAAGGAAAATTAAAAGCTTTAACAAATTTTCTAATCAATTATAAATCTTTATCTGTTTTATAAATATCTACAAAAGAGAAACATAACTCTGGAGTTAGAATAGATGTATTATGATTTAATAGATGTAGATAAAATCTCCTAAGAGTACTCATATAAGAGTCCAAGTTATTCAATTCTAATTAATCATAGATATTGGGTAATTTGGTAATACATTCTTTGAGATATTGATGAAGTACTAAAAAGATATAAGAATATATAGATTACCTATTTTTGGTTATTATTCTTGAATGTTGAGTGCTGTTACTAAATCAAATAATGGAATCACTTATTATACTCTAGTATCTTTTTTAGCTGATTCATTAGTTTTGACAATTTGTTTTGTAGCTATAGTTGTGAGATTATACACATGTTCTTTAGAGAAATGATGGATATATAGAGTTGCTTCTTCTGGTTCCACAATTGGGAATCTTATTCGACAAGCATGACAGAAAATAATATTTTGATCTTTATTGATGTCAAATATGATTTTGAATAGTTGTTCGATTGTTGGTTTATCCATTGAAAAAAGTAAAATGTGGAATATCTTTGAATTAAGTTATGATTTATTTTGGATA